AGCAAAAAAAAATAATTAAATGAGATGGAAGAGATTTGGAGGACTTTGGAAAAAATAATGTGAGGTAAGTTGAAAAAGAAGAAAATAAGGTTTGGAAGAAGAAAGAAGAAGAGTGAGAGATGGAGATATAATGTTGAGTGTCTTGTATTTATAAGGAGTTTGTGAGTTGAAAAACACCCCGCGAATTTGTGAGGTAACATTCACCCTGCAATTCTGTGTAAAAAAAATAATAATTCAAAAACAGTAAAAAAGTACCCCAACATTCACCTACTCCTCTGCAAAGTAATTATAATGTGACCGTTGGGGATTGCGAGGTGCTTTTCACCTGGAAATAAAGATGATTCCTTTACCTTGCGAAGTGTCATTCACCTAGCAATTCTTGTGTTAGAAAAAGAGTTAAAGCGGTGACTTGCCACCCTGACCATTAATAATTGTGTCATTTATTTTTCCTTCCAATTTTTTAAAACTAAGTTGCGGGGTATTTTTCACTTCGCAACTCTCTTTTTAAAATTTTCAAATTTTCCTCCCTCTATTGCGAGAAGGAAAAATATATTTATTTAAAAAAAACTATATTGCGAGGTGAAAAATACGCAAGTAACAGAATTGTTCTGAGATGGAAAAATGTCATGTATTTCATTGAATCCTCATATGCTATATATAATTACAAGATTGAATGGGAATAGCTAATCATTCCAAAAATAGTTTCCTAATATTAAAGGACATTGGTGCTATAAATACTAAATTGAATATATGTACAGCTGGTACATAACTGAATATTTTCATGATGTTATTGGCAATTAACAGCAAGATATCAATTGTCTAAAACTCCCCTGAAGTTGGAGCATGCAGATTGTGGATGCCCAACTTGTTTAGAAAATAATCAAACTGCTGTTTTCCCAATGCTTTAGTAAATATATCAGCTAGTTGAATATTAGTGGACACATGGTGAGTTGAAATGTTGCCTTTGAGAAGCTCATCACGTAAGAAGTGACAATCAACTTCAATGTGTTTTGTGGGCTCATGGAAGACTGGATTGGCAGCTATATGTAATGCTGATTGACTGTCACAATATATCTTCGTGGGGCGAGATTGGGGGGGGCACCGAGAGAGAGCAAAAGTGCTTTCAACCATTTGAGCTCACATGTAGTAGTAGCCATGGAACGATATTCCGCCTCAGCCGAGGAACGTGAGACAACGTGTTGTTTCTTGGTTTTCCAAGAGATAGGAGAATTCCCAAGAAAAACAATCCATCCAGTGAGAGAGCGCCTAATCAAGGACATCTTGCCAAATCCGAGTCACACCAGACATAAATTTGAAGATCACAATCAGCTTGGAGAAGAATACCTTGGCCAGGATTTCCCTTGAGATAACGGGCGATACGGAGAGCTGCGTTCCAGTGCTCTTCTAAAGGTTTTTGCATAAATTGAGCCAACATATGAACAGAGTAAGAAAGTTCTGGTCTAGTGATAGTTAAGTAGACCAAACGACCTACTAGTCTTCGATACCGATCCCGTTAATGAGATAAATTTGATTTTTACATATTTCAAATGTGATTACCCCGTTAATGAGTTTTAGGTTGGCATAAAACATCTTGATCAATCTAAGTTACATCTTTAATGTGCTTGTGGCAAATGATATCTTTGATTCTTGCTTGACTGAGGTAATTTAAAATTTAAACTTTCTTTAATATTTTACATTAAAGTACATAGGTTTGATAACTCAGAGGTCGAGGAAGTTTTTTCACTACTACGAAAAACACATATAACAACATTTGCGAAAGACCTATAATAACAGTTGAACAATCGTTGTTGGGTACAGCGTGGTTGTAAGTGGATTATTTACAATCACGGTCTATTTCCCATGGTAGTAAACTAGATAACGCGCTACATACAACCACGATTGTATTAAACAAATATTACTGTATGTCTTTTAATAAAATAAAATAAAAATGCTGCAGTAGAACAACAACAACAAGAACAAAAAAAGAGAACAAAAAAAAGAACAACAACAACAATATCAATAACGATAAATACAAGAAGAAGAAGAAGATGAAGAAGAAGAACAACAACAATAAAAACAACAACAATAATAATAACAACAAGAACAACAACGACAACAATAACAAAGAAAAAAAACAACAAGAACAACAACAACAAACATTGCTAACTTGAATCCATACTTCCATTGTCCCATTCAAGTTGGAGAAGACACGATTGAGTTCTGAAATTTGTTAATGAAAGAAATGATGTTTTCGAGTATTGTTTATGGAAGAAACGATATTTTCAAGCTTGGTTTAATGGAGAAATACAGTGCCGTAAATGAAAGATGGTGTTGGAGGTAGAAGATGAAGTTCATCTAAGTTTGAAGTTTGTCTAAGTTTTAGGTTTCACGTCGATCACTAATGGTAGGTTCTTGAGCGCTGATAATCACTAAATGGATGACCCAAAAATTTATTTAAGGATAATGAAGAAACTCAATAAATATGCTTATATTTCCCCATGACCTTGAGTGACTTCTAAACATGCTATATATAACAACAATTGTATTAAACAACTATTATTGTATGTCTTTTAATAAAATATAAAAAATACAGCAGTAGAACAACAACAATAACAACATGATTCTAACTCATGATCATGCACTACATACAACAACAGTTTTATTAAACAACCGTTGTTGTATGTCTTTTAATTAAATATAGAAAATGCAACAGTAGAACAACACCGATAAAAAGATTCGAACTCATAACCAAGCGCCATTTTTTACCACTATTAAAATTTTCAATCATGGTGAAAAGTGGCTTAAAAATGAAAATAAAAAGAAAGCGCCAAATTGAATATATTCTACCACGGTGGATCGCTTGGACGTGGTAACACAGACGATGTTGTATATCTTTTTTTGTAGTTGTGTGTTGTAGAAATCCTCTTGAAATTTGGAGGAAAAATATTTGGACTTATACATACTTGATAATGGACTTCCAAAGTGAAAACTTTTGGTGCCATTGAATGATGATGATGATAGCCAACAAGTAGTAGAAACACCAAATCGAAAACACGAGGAGAAAATGTTTTGAGATGAATAAAAAGAGGAAGGAGAATTTTGTATAGCCATCTTGTAGTCAATTAGGAACTCATTTAATAAAAAAATTATTAGTGTTGATTGATCTTTGAACATAGCTAATCAAAAACTAACTCACCATTTTGAGAGTTCTTATTTTTTTTAGCTCTTTAGTTTATTTGAATTTGGTCTTAATAGAAAAAATCAATAACATTGATTAATCTTCCATTAGGGATGATTGAAGATTGATTTTCCTTAGAAATTTGTTGTTGTTTTAAGATTCTTAATCAGTTAGAATCTAGTCTTAATCGACTAAATCATTAATGTTAATTAATGTATAATAAAAAAAATATCGATATTTGTTTCACCTTAGATTTTGATTGCTGATATGAGTTTCTAATCGATTAGGTTTAGAGCTTATTCGATTAGTCGGTGCAAGATTAAAAAATAAAGTCTTAATTGATCAACTGGTAGGGGAAATAGATTAAGAAGATAAAACTTTGCTTCTTTGAGAATGTCACCTTCTTGAATCACTTCTCTATTTTACGGTGATGCAGGTTGAACTTGTATGATTAGCACTCCAACGTCTCAGTCAATTTAAAATTCAAGATAAGTAAAGTAAAATTAAAAATAAAAAATTATGTATCTTCTTATAATATGTGAACTATTTTTATATTTTAGAACGAGTATAATGAGTTTGAGATGAATTGGGTCTCAGTCAATTGGATCTTTTGACCGGTTCAGAACAATGCTCCACTCTATTACTCACAAAATTACCTTCACAAAAGCTCAAGCTACAGGGTGTAGTTGGCCGAACAGGGCAATCCTCAAATGATTTAATATTTCCTCCTAAAAACCATTGAAGGACAGTCTAAATCTTAGTCTATAGAATATGTATTCATAAAAAGGCATTGAACATCCATTGAAAGAGCTGCACACCCTCTTATCTAATTAGGTTCGACGTGAGAAATTGGTCAATCGGAGGAGGGTTCCACGTCCAGATAAACACCCTTCAAACTTTGAATGCTACTAAACATAGATGTCGCCCACACCAATTATGTCTCCACCCAAAATTGTTGATAGACGTCAATTGACAACACAAGGCTTTGTTGGTCCTTTCAAACCGTGCCTTCCACATTGTTAATAAAAAATAATGTTTGTCAAAAATTCTAGAATGACCATGAAAGTTCAAATACTCCTTAATCTCTTTATTGCTGGATTCTCGACCGTTCAAAGATCCAAAAACTTTAATGAACATGTCTGTGCCTCAGGTTATCACAGTACAATTCAGCAGACTCAAGATCTTCCATGGGCAAGGCCGAAGAGAGTGATCAACAATATTTAAAAATAATATTTAAACATTAAGGTCTTGATTTAGGTTTGCTTTAAAAAAAAAACTAAAATAAAGATACAAAACATGAGAATTTGACATGTATACAACACTTCTAGACTTGTAAATTAAATGTAAAGAAACATCTTATACTACAAATAAAAAATATAAAGAAATCATATTAGTTTAATAGTGGTATGAAAGATTAAAAACGTGCAAAACCAAAAAGTTTGACCAACAATATTACTTAACACACCATTTCACTCAAAGAAGTAAAACAAGCTTCTTAAATTGGGGTATTAAGAATTTCTTAGTATCGCATCAAGGTAGACAATCTTATCTAATAGTATACACAACATGATCATTAATTATATGCCTAATCAATATCAATGCTAATGTTAAGATCGGATTTTTCACCGACCACAGCTCATTGTTTATTTTTTTATAGTCCTAATATTTCTCTCCATGCTTGGCGCATATCAATGCGAGCATTAGTAGTGGAATTTAATAAACGCAACATGAGCCAAACAGCAAAGAAAAGTAAGGAAACAGCTATGCATAATATTGCAGTGGGAGTTTGACCAAAAAAACAATTGATCATAACAACAAAAGGATGTTCCTAACAGTGCAGGATTGTGTGAATCAAATCAATGATAGTGTTGACCAACTAACCCAAGCCATCAAAGAACTTAAAAAGTTGAACCAATTTAACAGCATCGTCAATGATAAAGTGTTGTGGCACATAAGTAATGTTGAGACATGGGTTAGCACTGCCTTAACAGATGCTAGTAGTTGTGTACAATCATTTCCTGGTCATAGAATGAGTAAAAGCGTTGCAACAATTAAGGTTAAGGCAAAGAATGTTGCAGAAGTTACTAGTAATGCACTTGCTTTGTTTCATAGTTATGCTTCTAGGTACAAACTTGCAGCAGCTGGAACAACCAAGAAGCCTTGAAAAGCTAAAAACTTATCTTTTTTTATCACCCTCTGTTGGTTCTTGTATATTGTGTACATGTTTTTTTCTTTGGGTGGTTTGACATCGTTATATATATTGATGTATGATTGTATGATTAATCTCATTATTATTTATGCTACTATAGTTTTTATTCTTTCATAATGGTTAAACAATTTCTTGAAGGAGGACTTCATAGTCGCCACATTTCTTATGAAAAAGCTTTAAACAATAGTTACATTTTTGATTCGGATTCAATTTCTTGCTTTGGAGATCAATTTTCATTTTTCAATTTCGTTCTTGCCATTCCCCTTTATTGCAATTTCGTTTGCTTATATTTTTTTTTCCTGATTTCATATTTACTTTCACTTTCAATTTAAATTCTCGATCAGTCGAAGTTTTCCATCTACGAATATTTAGCTTTCTTGTTAAGCATGTTCTTGCTTTTGCAATTACAATTATATATTCTTCGCAATTTTTGTTCTCGTAATTTTCCCCAAATTCTAGGGTTCCTAATTAAATGGCATTTTTGTGTTGGTGTTTGATCTGAGATTACGAGTTTAATTCATCTTGCATGGCTTAATCACATAAAGCTTCAACATGAAATCATTGTGAATTTCGACGTCGCTTCCACGGTTTTTGATTCTACAAAAGAAGAATGTATCCTTAATTTTGAGAAGAATTCGATTTGGATATGGTATTGTGAGCATTTTAATTTTGAAGTCTCACTTTCTTTCGTTGGGTAATATCATTTTGGTGAAGTTTTGAAGACAGATCTACAAATTATCAACTTGTGTTTGCGGTAGCTTTCGATATAGACCATGTTTTAGATTTTTTTCTTCTCTCACTATGAAGATATTTTAGCTCTGATTTACTGCTACTCGCGACTCTATGCATGCGCCACTGCCAGTGTTTGGAATCAATCCATTTATGATTGAACATGTTGCTTGATGTTTTGAAGTTTTATCTGGCAAGTTCTATTGGGAAAATAGAGCCCTCACGCCCAGCACTTTTTTGGCACTAGTAGAAAATTACTTTTTAGTAAAGGTTGTTAAGTCAGTTAACTTATCACCGGACTTAAGAAGCGATGCGGTGGTAATTTCGTAAATATTTATAACTTAGTTAAGTCGGTGCATTTAAAATTGATTTAACAAAAATTAAATAAAAAATATATAATTCATTTTAAATTTCTTAAGTCATATGTGGTTACTAACTGACTTAAAAAATTAATTTATTAAGTCAGGTGTCTTCCACCTAACCTAAGAAGTTTTATTTACTTAAAACAAATTAAATTTTGGGTGCATCATAGGGGAATCGAATTCGGTATTCTTGAACAAACTTGAACAAACTAGAAACCCTAATCAAACTTCCCTCCAACGCCGTCCAATGCCCTTCTTTCTCACTTTGCGATCTCCTCGTCTTCATCTGGAATTTCGCGGCTTCTCCGTTCTCCTTGTTGCTTTGCGCTTTGGTGGTTAACCTGCAGCTCAACAAAGATTGCAAAAGTGATTTGAAGAAAACAAGCTTTTACCCAAGAATATGAGTCGACGGCGGCTCGTTAACGGTGGCGATGATGAATCCTCGAGGATGATTTGAGCCTCACGGCGGTGATGAGTCTCCTCCGGTTTGAGCTTTTCTGCTTCTCTTGTAATAGCGGCTTCTTTCGTAGGAAGGGGACGCCAACCGGGGTTTCTCTCAGGGAAGCGACTAGTCTTCCCTTCGCTGCATGTACTGTCTGGTCATCTATCTTTATCACCAGCAGACTATATAAAGGGGAAACCTTGTTGGTAAGCATGGTTCTTGATTCTTGCCTTGCTATTGATCTTTAATCTTCGTGTTAACTTTATGAATTCTCAGATTCATGGAGGTTCTGGCGGAATCGACGCATTTGCAATTAAGGCAGCTAAGTTGGGTGGATCAAGAGTAATTGTAGTTGCAGGTTCACTATTTCTTTTCATGTTTTTGAATATTTACTCAGTTTGATGTCTTTAAGCCTTGACAGGATTGAAATTCCAAGCGATGTTTGCAGAAATTTGATTCTAGATATTACTATGCAGATGATCAAGAGAAGCTATCTTATTGTGCGAGTATTCAAGCCGATGTTTGCATCAATTACAAAATTGAGGACTTTGCTGCTAGAGCGAAGGAAGAAACTGGTGGTCGAGGTATGAAGCTTGGTGTAGATTCTTGATATCTTTGTTTTTTGATGAGGTAATATTATTACCATTGATTTTGTGGCAGATGTTGATGTTATTCTTAATTGTACTGGAACATCTTGCTTTCAGAAAAATATTGAGTGCTTGAATGTTAATGGAAGGCTTTTCGTTATCGGCACTCTAGGGGCGACTTTGTATACACAGATGGATCTAAGGGATTTGGTTACCAAGCGTCTCACTGTCCAAGGTATTACAATCTGAATGTAAGTATTAACCTTCACAATTAGAGTAAAAACATGGTTTGGTGGATTATGTGCAGGGGGTTACTTGCAGAATAGAAGTGCTAGAAGCAAGCAATTGATCATTGAAGACGTGAAGAAGAATCTTTGGCCTGCAATTGGAAATAGAAAAGGAATGATAAATCCTTTGGTCCACCAATGTTTCACTTTTTCTGAAGCAGATGAGGCTCACCAGCTTGTGGAAACTGGTCACCAGATTGGGAAAGTATTGCTTGTGCCATGAAAACCATGCTGAATGCTAGATTGATATGTACATGAAACATGGTGTTTTTGAATCTTTTGAGCTTTAGACATATGTTCAATCGATATGCACGAAGCAACATATTCTTTTGAATCATTTGAGTTTAGACCTTTGTTGATTGATGTGTATATGAAACAACATTGTTTTGGATCATTTGAGATTAGGCCTTTGTGTATTCTGACTTCGAGTAAATAAAGTCCTGTTTTAATTACCTTCTTCACCATCTCTACGAAATAAGTCATTTAGAGTTACGTATAGAGATTTACATGAAGCAACCAATGGATTTTCTTCATCCAATTTGGTAGGAAGGGGAAGCTTTGGTTCATTTTATAGAGGATCACTTCTTAACTTTGAAAGACCTATTGCTTTAAAGGTGTTGAACCTTGAAACACGTGGGGCAGCAAAGAGTTTCGTTGCAGAATGCAATGCTTTAGGAAAGATGAAACATCATAATCTTGTTAAGATCTTAACTTGCTGTTCAAGTGTTGATTATCAGGGTGAAGAATTCAAGGCTATTATTTTTGAGTTCATGCCTAATGGGAGTCTAGAGAACTTTTTGCATGATAATGAAGGGTCTGGAAATCACACTCTCATCTTATCAAAAAGGGTAGACATTGCTCTTGATGTAGCTCATGCATTGGATTATCTTCACCATGATGAAGACCAAGTTGTAGTTCACTGTGATGTCAAGCCAAGCAATGTTCTTATTGATGAAGATATGGTAGCTCACTTGGGAGACTTTGGTTTAGCAAGGCTCATTCATGGATCCACAAGTAAAGATCAAGTTGACTCCTCAACAAGTAAAGGAAGTATAGGATATGTTCCTCCTGGTAAAGTTCTTTCTATCCCTTGCTTGTTACTATATATCATTCATAATGTTTTGCATTATACTCTTTTATTTATTTTATTTTAAAGTTTTTGTTTGGTTGATTGTAAAGAGTATGGAGCTGATGGTCCGGTAACACCAGAGGGAGATATCTATAGCTATGGAATTCTATTGTTGGAAATGCTAACTGGAAAGGGACCATCAGAAATTGTGCAGGAGCTTTCTTCAAAACTTGTTTCGTGGATGGTTTCGGTTTTTGCTGGTGGAAGGTACATTCTACCAGCTGGACTAATCTCTTCACCATCTCTTGAAAATGCTATTGCCATGTGAGTATTTTCTTACACACCCTCAAGGTAACCAACATATATATATTGTTTAATATGCGATTGTTGGGTGTATGTGCCAGCTGGTTGTGAAAAGTAAATTCAAATTTTCTATTTCTTATCAACTTGTGACAGTACTTCAACACTATAGTTTGGATACCATTAACTAGTGATTCATATTTGACTTCAGAAATTGCAAATGGGAATGAGAAAGTTAAAGCTGATGCAATACGAATTGGAAACTATAAGGATGGACAGTATCCGATAGACAACAAAGAATTCGCTAAACGAATATTTTATACTGTGTTCATGGGATCTGAAAACAAGTAAGTGATAATTTTCATGTTAGAGTTCATGGGATCTGGAAACTATAGGGTTTAACAGATATATTTTCTCCTTGCAGTTCAGAAGCTACGAAGTCGCGAGCCAAGGTGCTGGCAGATGAAGTTGGTTCATGGCATCTTGATGTTAGCATTGATGGACTTGTATCTTCTTTTTTGTCATTGTTTAAAACACTTACAGGAAAGCGACCACACTACAAGGTAATTGAATCATGGGCTTATGCATTATTTCAATCCTCATAAAAACATACTTGAACCGTGTATTATATGGTGTGATCACTTATACAAGTAGATGTGGATCTGAAGTTGAGAATTCAAGCTTACAAAACATTCAAGCTCAAATCAAAATGGTGCTAGCTTACATGTTAGTGTTACTCTTGCCTTGGGTTCACAACAAACCTGAGTTTTATCTTGTCTTGGGGAGCACCAATGTCGATGAAGGGTTAACTGGGTGCTTGACCAGGGTATCTCCATAAGTGTTTTTTTGTGTGACCTATGTGGTTTAAGATTACTCTATATTCTATTTCATATTTTCACAGATGAAGTTCAAAACATGTCGCTTGTTTGGTTGAATCTTTATAAACAAGAAACAAAGTTTAGTTTCTCATTATGTGATAATTTTATGATATATACTTGTGTTAATATACTTGGTTCTACATAATTTTGTGATAATGAAAAGAAGAGTTAATTTTCTGACAATTTTGGGTGTAATTTGTTGATTGAGTTGGATAGTCTGATTTGGGGATAAATTGTTAAATGGGAAAACTGCATCTGATTTGTGTGATTATCCAAAAAAAAAAACAACTTCTTAGGCCGG